AAGCCCTCAACTGCCAATTCGGCTTGGACAACAGCTTTGTTCTTGGTAGCTAGCAGTTTTGTGGGGATGTCTGGTCCAGAAAGGATGGGCTCGCCCATATCAACCTTTACCTGAAAACAAGATATGTGTATAAAATTCTATATGAGGTATAACTTAAAGATTGGAGAGTGTTGGCTGGCTTTGTCACACAGGTGTGTATCACCACACCCCTCAGTCGCACACGCACACACACTGGAGGTTGGAGAAGAGGCACACACACGCACACGCACGCACGCGCACGCACACACACGAGTTGGAGGGACTCAATACTATTATCCAATTCAGTACCCCTTATTTGTAACATAGTTCTTCAGCTAAAGTGGTATATAATATCACGTTAAGAACAAACTGCAGAAGAGTGCAAGACGAAAATCAGTTGCACATGGGGGAACAAACCTTACCAGACAACTAGCAATCAAAGAAAAGGCATTAGAGCATCTCCAAGAGTCTTCTTAAACTCACTCTCTAAATCCTCACCTGGAGAGCCATTTGAATAAAAATCGCTCTCTATACCTTTCCACTCTCCAATAGTTTCTCTATATCTTGTGTCCATTCTAGAGAGCTCTCCATTTTTGGCTAGCAAGAAATCAGGAAAAGAGGATGGCAGTATTTGGAGATCTAATTAAAGAAGCGGTTGGAGGACATTTTTTCACCAAAATCTCTATTCCTAACAATACGAAAGAATATAAAGAAACTCTTGGAGTTGCTCTTACCTTTGCTCATGACCAAGCAACATAGCTAGCAAGGCATGATTATAGTCTTCTAGAATTAAAGAGGGACTACCATAATTAGATTTCAAAATGCCTACAAGGAAAACATTTACCTGCCCATCACTTTGTATTTCAGGAATGATCTTTCCAGCACCAGTATGAATAGTGAAGCTGAAATGTTTAAAGAACTAATTTCAGGGTCCATAACAAAAAATGATGCATCCACATATTATCATAGTTCTAGCATTATTGTATCTCAATAATTAACTATATTAATATTAGACTCAGATTCAACAACAATTACTCAATTACTACTCTGCCTAAGTTGTTCAACATAGCTGGTCCCAACTCCCAAGCTCCCAAGCCTGGGTAAAGGAGAAGCGATGTGATAGGCTTGGCAAGCCCACGTAAAAACTCAACCACTCTTTATGAAGATGAAAACCGAAAGAAGCCCAAAAAGAAATATTAGATTCAGATTCCCCTCAAAACCATATCAGGTGAAGAATAACACGAGACTTGAGTGTAATTTCTGTATATTTCATTTAATTGTTTTACAGTGATGCTGCAATGCATTACCTATTTGTCCCCTGCAGATTTTCAATCTCGGCTATAAACCGAGCAAAGCAACGGACTCCATTACCGCACATCTGAAAACCAAAAAAGAAATAATGGATCAGCATTTAGTGTATGAGAACAATTCAGATTAACAAACTGTATTGAACATTTTCTGATTGTCCATAACCTGGAGATAAAGAAAAGGAAAAAACATAGTGGGACATTTATATCTACTTTTCTTTTACTCTACTTGATAGTTAGCAGTGCCATAAAAAAAGGAACATATCTATATGGTCCATTTGTTTAGGATTGGAAACATGATGACACTTCAATTGTTTAACAGCCAGAACATATCTGATCATATAATAAGCATTTGTTTAGGATTGGAAACATGATGACACTTCAATTGTTTAACAGCCATTCAAGACACAAAACTTACAGGTCAGAATTTAATAAAACGTAGCCCCAGTCCATGTTAGAAAGTGAGACATGTATGGTATACAGACTATACATCTGGTATGCTTGTGAAATAGTGAATATAATAAAGATACACCAAGTGACCTAAAATACTCTGATGATGTTTAGATTGGTAGATGCCCCGATCTACACTAACTGGTACTCTGGTAGCTAGGCAAATTATAAGAGCTCAAGCTAGCAAGTTGATTTGAAGGCTGAAGTCTGCATCTACAAGAATTTGAAGGACCTCACAACTACACATCTACATTTTCCCTCCTTTTGCATTAAAAATCTCACATGATAAACCTGCACCGACTTGGCAGCAGAGACTGACCCTCGACTACCATCGCACTATGCATAGCTTAGCACAATTTGGTGGCGGAGAAGAATGACTACCAATAAGAACTACGACAGCCTCAAATATAGCATTTACGACCGTGCTGTAGAATTCAGTATTGTGACGAAATGGTGGAGACACGCACCTCTGGCTCGCTGCCGTCAGAGTTGAAGATCCTCATGGTGTAGTCGGCACCATTGACCCCCGGCATGACGAAGATGACGCCGTCGGCGCCAATGCCGAAGTTTCGGTCGCACAGCTTCGCGGCCTGCTCCGGCGTCACCTTCGGCACCGACGAGTCCCTGTTGTCCACCTACGAATCGAAACAGGAATCAGCAAACAAAACCGAAGTATCGTCAACACCAGAGCATTCGAAAAGTCAAAACAGCACGGATTGCACGAATCCTCAACGGCGGTTCACCCCCCAAATGAACACCTCACGGCGCGGGCGGAATAGCTGAAGAGAGTTGGGAAACGGAAACGGGCGCACCATGATGAAGTCGTTGCCGAGGCCCTGGTACTTGACGAAATGGAGAGCGCGCTCGGACTCGCGGCGCTCGAGGAACGAGGCGGCGGCGCCGGACCTGGGGGCGGACACGGCCATCGAGGCGGCGGCGCGGCGTGGGGCGGCGGGGACCCCGCGTAGCGGAAGGCGCACGCGGCCGCGGGATGGAGCGGTAGGGCTGGGGACGGCGACGGAGACCGCGGCGAAGGCTGTGGCGGCGGCGGGCGACATGGCCTAGAACGGGTGCGGGACAACGGGAGCGCCGCGCGTGGGGTTCGGGGGAGGGAGGAGGTCCCTGCCGCGGTCGCTGTCCGGGTAATTTTACGCGGACCCTAACGGTCAATGACTCAATGGAGAATTGGAGATGGGTCCGCGGAGCGTATGGCCCACTGTCATTGACGCTGAGTTCGAAAGAAAGGGACAGGGTCCCTGCGCAGCGGATGAATATGTTTTTTGTCTGACTGATGATGATGCCTGCCGAGGGTTTGGTTAGCCAGTTTTGGGATTCGGAAACAAATGATCCAAGAGATCTGAATTGTTTTCGTTCCTATATTTAGAAAATGAAATCGAAAACAATATTAGAGCAAGTACAAACATTTTTGAAATTTATTGATTTAGCTGTCTCTAAAAGTAAATCTGCCTAAAAAAGTTAGAGTAATCCAGGAGCCTCTCTAAAAAATTTCGCTAGTCATATTCAAATGTGCCACAGCACTTGTTTCTATTGGATCCCTCCTATCGCTGAGGAATTTCTCCGCCAGCGAGTTATAGGGATATTTTTGCATGGTAATTTTAGCACATTCGTATACTTCGTATATAGGACGTTGGTTGCTTTCAGTTTTGTTCATTTGCCATTGGAACTATTATCGAATAGTATTTGGCACTATACATACTGCACATTGCTAATGTGACATTGGCATATTGCTTAAATATATGATTTTAGACAACAGATCAATTGGGAACTAAATACAGCCCAGGAAATCTTACTTCGAATTTCATTCATCACGGATCGTGCTCCAAGCATTAAGCCTTCTCATAAAACACACATGCTGGGGTATGCTCACTCTGATCCTCGTTAGATCATTCATCCAAACATTGGCAAAAGAGAGAAACCAGCTTCTGCTGTTACTGCTACCAAATCTCCGATGAAATGAACAGTGGCCTTAGTAGACTATTGATGGTGTAGTTGCTTTTTCAGATTTTCTTAAGTAATTTTTTATACTATTGGAGACACTCTAATGAAAAGGATTGATTACACCAATTTCATCCACATCGAATTTATATGTCAGAATAGCGGATAAAGGCATCAAGGGGTCAGGTCTTCTTACTTTATCTTTCTTTCCAATTTTATTGTGGGTTTGATAAGAGCCTTTTTTGCTTTGTGGATAAAAAAGAAGAGTTTTTTTTATAACGTGCTTGTTTTATTCTCCTTTTGATATCTCGTCATTTATTGGCAAAAATTAAAAAGATCAATATGAAGGAGGAGAAAGAAATAATAGTAACGTGGTCCTGAGCATCTAGCATTCTCCCCGCAATGGTTGTCCATACAATTACGATTCATAATGGAAAAGAACATATACCTATTTACATAACAAATCCTATGATAGATCACAAATTGGGGGAGTTCATGCCTCCTCACTACTACTATGGGATGCTCCTTCCTACGACTATCTAGTTATACTCCTACTATAGCTTTTTACTCTAATTTTATACAGTAGTTATTTTAAGACTATGTCAGCATGGGATACTTTCACAAGCCGATCCCTCTTTCACAAGGACCGTTTTGTATATCTCTTCATCGTGGCCCTAGTGCTCAATTCGAAGTGCGTGGACAAAGGAAAATCGAGACGCCCAGACCTTACTCAAGCCGCTCGCTACTCCTCGCGGCGCCCACGCATGCGGCTGGCGGAACGGAGCCACGCCGCTGACGTGCACATCTCTCCGCGGCTTTCCTCTTCGTCTTCTCGGCCTACAGCGCCGCCCAGAACTAACACGGTATTACTCACTACTACTACTCTACTACTACTCTTGCTACTACTGCTACTACTACTACTACTACTCCTACTACTCCTACTACTCCTACTCCTACTACTACTACTACTCCTACTACTACTACTACTACTACTCCTACTCCTGCTGCTGCTGCTGCTGCTGCTACTTTTCTCACTCTTCTACTACTACTATCTGCTACTACTCCTCTTGCTACTACTATCACTACTATCTGCTGCATGCTGCTTGCTGCTGCTGCTATCGCCACATCTGGATGCTCCTAGGGTCCTATAGTACTATCTAGTGTAATCTAAATGTATATTTAAAGATAAGTATAGCTTTTTATAAAAGATAATTTTATACAGTAGTTATTTTAAGACTATGTCAGCATGGGATACTTTCACAAGGACCGATGTCAGGATGGGATACTTTCACAAGGACCGTTTTGTATATCTCTTCATCGTGGGCCCTAGTGCGCGGGGAAAAATCAATTCGAAGTGCGTGGACAAAAGGAAAATCGAGACGCCCAGACCTACAGGGCAGAGCAGCGGCAGCTATGGGTGGCCACCGCGACGAGGAGGTCGCCGCCTCGCCGCTCCTCGCGGCGCCCACGCATGCGGCTGGCGGAAGGCGACGGAGCCACGCCGCTGACGTGCACATCCTCTCCGCGGCTTTCCTCTTCGTCTTCTCGGCCTACAGCGCCGCCCAGAACCTCGAGAGCACAGTCAACACGGTACACCACACCCTCTGCTTTCCCTTCTGTTCCCCTCTCCGTCTCATCAGTCTGTCGGCGTGCAGGAGGGCGACCTGGGCACGGTCTCGCTGGGGATCCTCTACACCTCCTTCACGCTCTTCTCGGTGGTCGCGTCGCCGGTGGTGACGCGGCTGGGACCCAAGCGCGCGCTCGTCGTGGGCACCAGCGGCTACATGCTCTTCATCCTCGCTAACCTCGTCCCGTCATGGTGCGTCCATCTTGGTTTGGATGCCTGGAGCTTGTTCGATAAAATTTCCTAGCTTGGGAAGTTCAGGAATGAATGTTGATTCAGCATCTATCTGACCACTGTTCATGTTCAGTAGAGGATGCACAATTCAGATCAGTGAAATGATTGGGACATAGAGTTAGTGTACGTGTTAGATTCCCACCACTCTGCATGCTATGCAGCCCCCCTCTGGCCCATAACGAAATTGGGTCAGGAAGCAGGTTCTTTTGGATGTTACTAAGTCGTTAAGATTAACAAAAATGTGTTCCAATTCAGTATGTATTGCAGTTTGTGACTGACAGGCCTTAAAAATTGTTCAGTGATATGCTACTGAACAATCTACCAGGGATTTCCATTTTCTTTGATGCACGCAACTTATTTACTAGGGTAGATTTTGTCCCTAGGATGTACTTGCTTATCTAGTGGGTGTTTCGGCCGTGTGAAATAATTTAGAATACTGCCTTTCCTGTAACATTGTCTACAATACAAAATTGTCAGGTACACAATGGTGCCTGCTTCATTGTACCTTGGTTTTTGTGCATCCATCATTTGGGTTGGGCAGGTAGCTGTTCTATTTTTCCTTGAACTATATATTTTGTTCCATAGTTCCATGTTAGTCTATCCGTCTCATATACCTATTCACACTGCAGGGTACATATCTAACATCAGCTGCCCTTAGTCATGCAAGAGACAATAATTTACCTGAGGGTCCGACTTTGGGGAAATTTAATGGAGAGTTTTGGGGAATTTTTGCTAGCACGCAGGTACAGTTCTAAGAGCTATTCTTAGTTGAAACACACCAGGAGAGATTCAAGTATTTGTTCTTCACAACATAACTACAACACGTTTTTCTTTCTGTACTCATGTCTTATATAGTACAACATTTTTTTTATTGTACTGCATTTGAATTATGTAGGTACTTGGAAATTTGCTCTCGCTTGCTCTACTGAGAAATGGAAAGGTTAGTCCCTATTAGACAATTCCAAAGTGTCAATTTCTTTTCTTTTTTAATGGAAAAGAACATATAATAAGGGCAAACATGATTCGATTGTTCTAAATATCACGTGAACTTCTCCTGCGTATTCTCAGTATGTGGTGGTGGTGGTGGGGTGTATTTATAAGGGTTCTCACACCCTTTCCTCTTCTTCAATATAATAATACGCAGTTCTCTTGCTTGAATATATACCACATGAAATTGATATTTCTTAATTGACACCTTGACAAATATTGTGAAACAGAGGGATTGCTAGTCATGCAAATGGATCGGTGCTTACTATTGTTTCCCCCTGAATTTTTTTATTAACTTCTATTTGCCACTTCGGCTGCTTTTGTGATATATATTTACATTTAAATTGTCAATTTTTCCTGATCCTTTGATTCTCTCATGACTTCAGGATGGGGGAAGTGTCACGGGGAAAAATATGTTATTTGTTGTATTTCTTGGCTGCATGATCGTGGGCATTGTATTAATGTGTTTTCTCTCCAAAAGAGAGGAGAAAGGAAATAATGATCCGGTCCACTCCTCTTTTGGAGCGATGTTGAAGTATATTGTTGCCCCTCTGAAGGACCAAAGGATTCTTCTTATTATCCCTCTTATGGTATATATAGGTCTGCAAAATGCGTTTGTCTGGTGAGTAACCAATTTTGTTATCAACATTGGTTGTTGTTGTCTTTCTTACTATGTTATTCTTTAAAGAAAGTACCATGCGTTCTTCTGAAGGGCTGTATTCACAAAGAGTATTGTAAAACCTGTCCTTGGCATATCTGGAGTTGGTGGGGCTATGGCAATCTATGGTGCTGCAGATGCAATTGTAGGTGAAATAACAATGCTGATTACTGAATTAGTTATCTTATCCTCCCATCCGCCAAAATGCTAAGAAATATTTTAAATTCCTCACACCATTTCTTGATGTACTCCTTATTTCTGTTTTCATTTGCCAAGACTCATGATGTGGCTATTATAGCCAGGAATTGTTGAAGACTTGAAGTGCATTAGCGACTAGTCACACTAGCGACTGTTACATATATCTTATTCTACAGTTATCTAAAACCTAAAACCTCACATTCTAAATCAATAAAGAAATCCCTCTGCATATTTTTAGCTGACCGTTGGAACATGACTGACATTTCAGTGTGCATTGGTTACTGGATGTTTGACCTCCGGACTTTATTCGGCTACATTCTTTGTGTCGTTTGGAACTGTTGTCCAGGGTGTAGTCCTATTCTGGTTGCTTCTTTTTTACAGGTCTGATTTCTTTAAAATGTTATGGTGCACCTGTGCTTGTCACTGCTATTTTGGTGCACTCATCGTTGTCATGCTGCAGGCCAACTGTTGGAGTGCTTGGAGCAGCAGCTCCGCTACTCATAGGCGCCTTATGGGGTGTTGGTGCTGGGATGTTGAATACAGTGCTAAACACGGTTCTTGGACTGCTGTTCGAAGATGCCAAGGTAATTGATGCCATGATCTCATTTGCTGTCTTAAGATTTTCTATCTCTCAACATTTGGAACATAGTTATTTGTAATTTCATTACCGTGTCTTCAACAAATACTTAAGTTTGGCAATGTGGCAAACGCAGGAGGCTGCCTTTGCACAGTTCAAGGTCTGGGAATGCGCTGCCGTTGCTGTCATCTTCTTCTTGAGCCCAAACATCATGCTACAGGCACTGCTGATCCTGATGACCACTGCCCTCTTCATCTCATGTGGCGCATTCCTGTTCCTCACAATTGTTACCGAAAAGCCATCGACTGTCAGATCCTGAGGCAAGTGGCCGTTCTCATATCTTGGTCAGTTACTCAGTGTTATCAGCAGCGGTCAGGGGCAAAGGCAAGTTATGTGTAGGGGGTGCAAATGCACCACCCAAAAAAATGCACCCACTATTAGACTTGTCTACGCACCCACAAGACAAGTGCACCACCCTCTAATTTACTCTAGCTTCGCCACTGGCAGCGGTGGAGTGCCTCATATTGTCTTCGCAGCTGATCTGGGAAGGAAATGTCCCTCCCGTCAATATGAGTTGTGACATCGTATTTCATCACCCCCATTATAGCGGACTAACCATTGCTGAACAGCTGTGTTAGAATTGATCTCATCCGTCTTGACCCAACGGTCGAGACGGACGCCTTGATCGTGTCCTGATCGGGGATGTCCAGCCATCTACTGACTGGTGGACCCCCGTCGCACAGTGCCTATAAAGAGGAGGTGGGGCAAACGGCTCAGGTAACGAGGTTCACCGCCGCCACAGCCCCACTATCCTAACCCTAATCCGATCCAGAGTAGCCTTTGCCCAACAAGGGAAGCGCCACTTGCCTCCACCCACCGCCGGGTCTCCACAGCTACACCAAGCGTCGCTGCCCTAGCGCAGATCATCACCGTGAACCCGGAGAAGGCAGGGAGCTCCTCCGACGGTCAGATGCTCCTACATCTCCCTCTCTCTCTCAGTCTCCTACTCCCGAAGCAAACTCTGGATCTATGTGTTCGAATGGAAGTCAAAATATCCACTGATCTACTCCTAGTCGATCCAAAAGAGTTAACAATGGTATCAAAGCCGTCGATCTAGTGTGTGGATTGTGTTAGGGGTAGCAGTGTAGAAGGAGATGAGTTAGATCCGGTTCGGATCGAAAAAAAGGAAATACAGAGGGTTCATCGAACCCTAAACCCTAATCGGGTGATAGAAAGAAAAAGAAAGGGATTCGAATTCGATTCGGATTACCCTAAAGAACCCTAACCCTAAAGAAATTGGACGGTCCAGGGGAAGTCTTACCAGGGCTTCCCCGCCGCCGTCACTACCGCCTCACTCGGGATGGAGCACCCGCCGCTGTTTTGCTGACGCGCGGGAAGAGATGGATTAGATCTTTTCGGATCTGAGCATACAGACTATGGTGTTTTCACTAACCCTAACCCTAAATGGGTGATGGAAACAGAGGGCTCGGATTCAAGAAAACGACGAGATCCGAACCCTAACCCACTACAGACTCGGGGAAGAAGAAGAACAAAGTGAATCCCTAACCCGCCCTAACCCTAGATCCAATCCCCATCCCCAAATCCAAACAAGAAGAAACGCAGAAGGGGAAAGGGATGGTTACCTCGCCGTCGTGCACGCCGGCGCGCGTGGGGGGGGGGGAAGAAAGGGCCGGCCGGGGGCACTGCTCACCGGGATCCGGCCACCAGCAAGCGCTACCAGGCTAGGCCGCTCGGCAGCGGCAATCACCTGCCTGGGAACGCGCTTGCGCCGACGAAGCAATTGCGGCGGCAGCGCAACGGGCTCATTGCTCCATTGTTTACCCACTCGCTCGCTTTCGGTGGCTAACTGTGGTGGCACCGAGGAAAGAAGAAGGCGTGAAGCCGGTGAAGAGAGAGAGCAGAAGAGAAAATGACTTAGGGTTTCGGATGGAAGCCGGCGTCGGCGTTTTTCATTCGCCCGAAGACGCTGCGCAGCTGTTCGATTGGATCCAACGGCGCTAATTGATTGGGCCAGCGTCGTGGCCCAGGTGGGCGAGGGCGCGTGGCCGAATTCCCGGCCTAGGCCTAGGTTGTGGCGTAGGGCGCGGGGGAGAGCGCGGGAAGCGCGCACGCGGGCGTGGCCCGTGGGCCGTTTTGTCGTTCTGGGCCAGAATGCACAGTGATAATTGAGAATTGTTTTATTTTTTCAGAAGCAAATTTTGATGATTTCATTCAAAGAATGATTTAAAATCTCTGATAATTTTTGCACCAACGTGTTAGAATTTTCAAAGAGTAGAAAAGTACAGAAAAATGCTTCTAAAAAGTAGGAAAAGAAATTTTGTCAAGTTTCCGCTGCAAAGTTAAAGGTTTATTGTCTTCTAATTGAAGAGCAGTTATAGTTATTCAGTAAATGATGAAAAGTTTATCCTCCAGTTAAAATTGGAACCAACTGGAAATTTTTTTAATTGGAGGAATATTCGGTTGATAGTTAAGATAAATTATAATATTGTTATTTTTTGACCAACGTTGATGATAACAATATTATAAGTTTATTTATGAGTTTAAGTTTAAAGTTAAATTATGGTATTGTTATTTTCTGACCAACGTTGATGATAACAATATTATAATTTTATGAGTTTTATGATTAAAGTTTAAATCTCTGATGAATTTTGCATAAAAGTGACCAATTTTCAGAGAATAGATAAAGATTAAGGAATGCTCTTAAACTAGAGAAATATATTTTCATGTTTCCGCTGCAATGAAGTTGATTGTCTTCTAATTAAATTCGAACCAACGGGAGAATTTAATTTTGAGGAGCAGTTCTATGTTTTCAAGATTATTGAATTTATATACGTTAATTCCATTTCTGCCCAACGGTGATGTGGAATTAATGTAGAAGAATGATGTTTTATTCTATTTCTGCCCAACGGTGATATATAATAGAACATAAAGTTTTCAAAGTTTAATGAACATTATTGTTGAATATTTTTCAGACAAAAGACCTCTAAGCTTTCATTCTTGAAGGCAGAAAGAGAAATGAGCTGGGTACTTGTGACTCAGATGATGAAATGCCTAAGGGCAAGTTATGTATGAAAGAATGCCATTGGTTAAGGGACTGTGTTCTCTTTAAAGAATGGCTTCAAAAGAAAAGAATTCTAGGATATTGATCCAAGAAAAGAGATATCAATGAGAGTCTTCATTGAGAAATGTCTTTTATGTACTCTCTGTGGAGAAGAATTTATTTTCAGTTTCACTTATGAGAGTTGTAAAAGTCATATACATGTTTAATTTGACTAACATTGGATTAAACATGTGTGTTAAAAGAATATTCGGATTTATTTCTGAATTTGATGATTGAACACGAGCCAATCCTGGCAATTATGACCGTTCAAACGAATATCTCGCATGGCGGGAAAAAGTTTATGATAGTACCCGCATGACGGGAAAAGTTTGAGAAAATACCCGCATGGCGGGGTAAAGTTGGCATAGTACATATGTTAACCAATCCTGCATGGCGAGAGAGTTTGGCATAGTACTTATCCCGCATGGCAGGAGAAGAATGTGATGACTCATGTGCTCTAAGTGTATCCCGCACATGGAGAGAAGTTTGAGGTAGCTTTTATGCTATCCTAGTATTGACCGTACACTCTGATTGTGTCATGGTCAATAAGTACTCAATGAGTTTAAGAACAAAAGAAAGTTGCATGTGAACCAAAAGATAAGAATGATATGCAAGCATGACTTGCAGAAGTATTGATAATAATAGACTATGTTGAGTTTTGAAGTGTAATGAGAAAAATATACTCCCATACGAATTTTGTTTGCATGATGTAATCATGTGGATGAAGTAAGTAATCAAAGTTTCCTCATTCACAAGAGTTCTGAATGTTTCGAAATTGTGGTAGAAAAAGTTCATACCACATTTCGAGGGGGAGAAATGTAAGATTAATTAAGAAAGACAATTAAGAAAGATACTTTCCCATACTTCAGATAATGCAATGCATACTATGCATTGAAGGTAAAAGTGATCTATAAAAGATGATTGTGATCGTTGAGGGAGTAAGACGGTCATAATAACGATACCCTTAAAGTAAAGAAATAGCTAAATTCCTAGACCTTTTTATAGTTTCGATAGGAAGATAGCATAGTCGGCTAGTATTTATACTTGACGAGTTCAGAGTTATCAAGGCGGTGCTAAATGCGCCATATGAGTTTTTTAGCAAATTAAACCCAAAATAAGAAATTTGAAGATACACCATCTTTACAAAAGATAAAGTAATCTGAGGGAGCATGGTATGTAGATACCTAAGGCTTGAATAGAAGTGGGATGACATATCCACTACAGTGTTTTTCTTTTAGAGCAACAAATTGCTTAATACATGTTGATATTGTATGGGTATACAACACCTGATGTTAGCTCTTAAAGAAGATGAATAAGTAAATAAGAATCTTATAATACAGGAGGCTATAGAACAATTGCCTTTTGGCAATGAAGAGTAACAATAGCCCTATATGAAAGAAGTGTCACGAGGCCCTAGAAGGTCTCAAAGAATAAGAAAATCAGATATTTCTGGTGACTAAGAAGTCAATGTTAAGAAAGAAATTCAAATAGAGGATAATTTCACCTCATTTGAAAAAGCCATGAGAGACGTTCACTCGTCTAAATGGCAAGAAGCAAAGGAAGATGAAATGAAATCGATAAATACCAACGATGTTTGGGACTTAGAAGTAATTTCCAATAGAGCCAACACAGTAGGCTGTAATGGGTCTACAAGACAAATGTGACTCCAAAGGAAATATGAAAAGCTATAAAGCGCCACTTGTGGCGAAATGATTTACACAAAGAGAAGGAATAGATTATAATAAGCTTGTAAGGATTCTTTTATAATCATAGTGGTATTAGTGGCACATTACGATTTACAGTTACATCAGAAGGATGTAAAGACACATTCCTCAACGAGGATTTGTATGGAAACGTTTACATGGCATAACTCAAAATGTTTTGTCGTGGAAGGAAAAGAACGTAAAGGGATGTTGCCTAAAGAAATCCATTTATGGATTAAAACAAGCTTCAAGACAGTGGTTCTTAAAGTTTGACAGTATAATAAGAAAATTTGGGTTTTAAAGAGAATATAGAGGACAATTGTATTTATGCAAAGTTTAAACATGGGAAATTTATTTTCCTAATCCTGCATGTGGGTAGCACCTTACTCGCTAGTAGTGGTGTTAATTTACTGTTGGAGAAGAAGCAGTTCTTGTCCTCAAGTTTCAATGAGAATGGTCTTGGTAAAGCATCATTCGTTCCAGGAATTGGAACTT